TTATTAAGTCAGTTCTGCTACTGAATATTGTTGAAGAATATAATTTTCTGAATATATATGAATTAATAATATTGTTATTTGTACTGTAATCTAGTATTGGTGATGTGATGAGTATTTATTAAGTCAGTTCTGCTACTGAATATAATTGAGGAATACAATTTTTCTTAAATTTTATATTTAAAAAGATGTTCAATATTTGTTTAGGTATAAGATTTATTCAAAAAATATTTTGATCCTGATAAAATTCAATAAAATGATAGTCTCTGTTGTTAACAAATGATAGTCTCTGTTGTTGTTAGGTGTTCATCAATAATTAAATAATACAATTGTTATATTTTCTTAAAAATATTCATTCAATAAATAAGTGTTTTATTTTTAGAGTTTAAAAACAATAAACTATTGTTATTTATAGACTCCTAATAATAATTATGGGTATTTATTTAGTCAGTTCTTGAATGTATTGAAGATAATAAATCATGTGAAATTCAGGTTAAATGTTCGTAGTTATTTAATTTATTCATCATACACTTTACTTAGTAAATTTGCGTTTTTGATATACTTCATAAAATTTTATTTTTTTTTGTATTATAATAACCTAGTATCTTAAAAATCAAATAATATTTATTATACCTGGATAGTTTTAAATAGGAGTTTTTTAAATTTTATTAGAATGATATTCTCTAACGAAATGGATAAAGGATGAGTCTGTTAAAAAGTTTCATTATACTTGATGTATGCTAACAAATAACAATATTGTATAATTTATATTTAGGCTAAAATTTATATAAGAGAGATCAGTTGACTTTGATATTGAAAATTTTAAACCATATATCAATAATATGGCAAACATGAATAGTCAATCTCATTATAATATTAAAATAACTTCATTTATGTATCACATATTCAAACATAATTATTATAATTGATAATTTTCTTGGTAAATAATATTTTTAGACTACAATAAATATTAGGAACAAGAAATTTCAACCTATTTGTAAAAATATAAATTAAACGATAAATATTTTGATATTTAATCAGTTCTACTGCTGCATATTTACATGATATTTTTTAACTGAAAGTATTAAGAAATAATTTAATTATTAAAATATTTTATTTATTTTTCATGTATAAATCATTGTTCACAGCTTATCCTCCTCAAGGCTATGACTATTATGGGGGAGCAACATATCCTGGTTATGAAGCTGATTATTATGGTAGCTATGGCTATGCAGGATATGGTAAGATTTATATAAATTAATACTAGATTTCAATGTTAGTATAATTAATGCTTCTAACTATAATAATCTAAAATAGCTGATTACTAATATATATATTTATTCAGATTATGGTTATGGATATGAAGCACCGCCAGCTCCTGTCTCTGCTACAAGGGGTCGAGGTAATGACAAATACGATCAAAATTAAACAAAATTATACTTGAATGAAATTTGTATAATATTTTTACAGCTGCATTTAATGGTGCCGGAAAAACAAGAGGAGCATCTCGAGGATCTGGTGCAAGACACGCTCCATATTAAATTTTAAATACCATTTCTCCCTATTTTTGTGTGTGTTTGTATGTGCGAGTGTGTACACTTTAAAATGACATAATTTTTTTTTTTTTATATATAAACAAATCATTTTTCTTGATGACAATAATGACTTGTGAAAATAGTAGAACTCCTCTCTTCCCTAATTAGTGGTATATGTTTTGAACATATAATCAATGAAATGTACAAATAAAATATCTAAAATTAATATTATTTTAATTAAGCACAAACCATATGGTAAATTATAATATAAATTTACTTTTTTTTTTTACTTTTTAGGTTAGTATGTATTTTTATTTTCATTATTAAATAAAAATTAATTAGACATTTTTAAAGACTTGCACTCCTTGTGCATATATTATTATACTAGTTAATTTGGTTTACTTGTGTGATTTTTATATGATAATTTAATATGTTTGAATTTTTTTTGTATAATAAATATATATCATATAATAAAATATTTTAGGGCCTTTGCAATAGAAATCAGATTATTGGACAAATGAAAAAAAAAATTGTTCCATTGAAAAAAAAAATGTATTTATATAAATTAGATAACAATAAACTTGAATCCATACAATATTTTCTTTAATAAATGAATCACATGAAATAACAAAGTTTATTGACCTACTTGATTCCATGACTGGTTTTGTATATCTTATATTATTTTAATAATAATTGGTATAACGCATCTATAGCTATTACTATTTGCTATTTAATCACATACATGGTAGTAAAAACTAAAAATACATATTTTAAATATTGTACTTTGCAAAATTGTTAAATATACGATTTTGTTGAATGCAATTTAGGTTATGTTGGTAGAAACTATTTGCATACATTTTTTTAGTATTCGATTAATTGTATATGACTAGTAAGTATGTAGTAACTGTTCTAGTTTAATCAAATACATTTAAAATGTTGGCCACACTGATAAGAAAAATTGAGTCGTGGCTGAAAGCATAGATTATGGAAACAAATTGTATTCTGTGATAGAAACGACACTCAATCCACTGGGTGGTCTACTGTATTCTTACGGTATGAAGTATTGAATTCTAAGAGTTAAAGCCGAATCCGTAATCTGACTAGATGTTGATAATGTGTATTTCTATTCGTTACAAAACGCAAAAAATCCATTGCCCATATGATTTTCGCGGGTTTTAATGTAAACAAACATTGCTAGAAACGAGCAAATTTGGAATTGCAATAGTTATATTTTTTTTTATTATTATTCAGTGTTCTTTCAACAGTTTCAACAATATATTGTTCAGTGATAATATTGATATTATTTATTTAAGTGATAACGTATACCGTGTTCAAGGCCAATGTCGACCGATTTGGTTAATATTAGACAGTGTCTATACTGTCTATAGCCTGCTGAAAGTGTTGTTGGTAATAAAATATTAAGTTTGCTTATATATCCTTAATTCGTGGATAATATAGTAATTTATCCCTATTAAATATCGCTTGAGGTATAATTATATAATCTACCACAAATCGTTCTAAAAATAGATCGGTATATCTAGGAAAAAATGTTTAAAAATTCCTATTAACATTTAAATGATGATCATGCCGAAAATTGTTTTGTTTAACGGTTATCGGAAACATGTAGTGTTTCTTAGTATACACATTGGGTAAATATTTTATTGAATTATGACCATTTACACGGTCTTAGAACATTTTCTTAGACCCTGATTATTTATAAGCCATTGGTAAGTGGTTAGATTATATTCGAGATAGGGCTGAATTAATAAATACCGCCATACACGTTTAGCAAAGAGGTTGCACTTCTGCTTACCGCGGTAACAACATGTTGCTGACTAATCGGTATCGTGGTTCGCCGGTGTGTGCGCCGCTATTGCTGCGGATATTCCAGCGGCCATTTTTTTTGTTTACGAGACGCTATCTCGTCCCATGTCTATAGCGTCTTCTCAGTCCTCATCCTTCAACTCCGTTCTCGTTCCTATTTTTAGACGCGTACATTTTTACTTAAATAATTATTTTGTATTGTTATATAGTGTCTTTTCATTGTTTAGCAATTATTTAAGCGTGTTAGTATTAATATTTTTTGTAAGCGAACGTATCGCGAGCATCAGGAATGGCCGACAACCAGCAACAAAACGGCTCGCAACAGTTTGAAAACTCCACTGACGCGCAGCAGCAACAACAGCACCTAAATGGCACCTCCGAAAATTCCACAACAAACAATGATTCTGGACAATTTGAATGCGTCCGGGATGATGACAGGTAAGACGAAACCGCCATTCAAATTGGGTTCTTTAATCTTAAAACTTTCGGCGTGCGCAGGCCACCACAAACGCGGAGCCATCGGGTACGACGATCTCTTGATACATTTTCCCGGCTAGTTTGATAATTGTTCATGTTTCTTCGTTTTATATCAACCGTTTGTTTTAAACTAGGTTTTTGCTTTGACTTCGTTTTTCCTCGGGAATTATAATAGCTACCATTATTAGGTTAGGATTTGAAATGCGCTTCCGTGTCTGACATGTCCCGTCCGTTTTTATTACACTACTTTACTTTGTTATTTCGTTCTCTATTATTTTTTTCATCGGATTTATTTTTTAGAGCATTTTTATAATATCATCTTTATGTTACAGAAAAATTTTTGTTGGAGGACTCAAAGGAGAAACTACCGAAAGTAAATTTTCAACAAACACTTGTTGGTAGTTCCTAAAGTCATAATCGATTATTTTTTGTATGTTTTAGAAGATTTAAGTGAACATTTTGGTCAGTTTGGTGAAATTGAAAATATCAATGTCAAAGTAGATGCTGCCACTGGTCGAGCAAGAGGATTTGCTTTCATAGTATACAAGACAATGGAAGGCCTAGACAATGTTAGTATACCATTTTGTTTTATTATTTTAATTATTATATTAACATTTGCTATAGGATACATGTTAGTAATAAACATGGGCAATAAATTAGGTGATGTCATTTATTAAGGGGCTTAGTAGGCAATTTTATGTTCAATATGTACTTGCGTGAAAAGTAATTTTATTGTTAATATGTGAATAGTATCACTATGTGTATGTTGGCATATATTCCTCTATTTTTTTGTGCATGACAAAAATATTTACATACTTTTCATACAGCATACATATAGATGAAGCAATAATTCAATGCGATAAAGATTCAGAAAACAAATGCTTAATGAAAATAATTTACATTCTAATACATTTTATTTTCCAACTGCTTTATAAATAATTTTACTATTTCTTTATCCGAAAAAATGTGTAAGAAAAATAGGTTTTTTTGACTATAAATAATAGGAAATTATTACAATCTTGTTGTATTTTATCTATTGTTGATAATTTTTATCAGTAATTTTGGTGTATATAGTTTTTTTTTTAACTTACAAAAATAATTTTTTTGATTGTTAATTTAAAATAACTTCCTTAAATAAATTCTTAAGTACAAGGTTTTTACGTAAAGACTTTATATACAGTTATAAATTAGCAGTTTGTTATCAAGATATTAAACTAGTTAAGTAATCAATAAACTTTTATAATATCAGCTAGTGAACCATGAATCAATAACACAAAGTATTAATACTTTAAATTGATATCATATAATTGTTTATAATAGCATAGGAATGTTAATATTTATAATAAATATTAAGTGAAGACTTCAATTGCTCTTAATAAAAATTACTAGGTAATATTTTAATTTTTGTTTATTTTAAAATAGTTTTAATAAAGAAGAATATTGTTTTTCTAATAATATGTAGGTAATAGGTTTTATAGCTTTATATGTATTAAAATTTATTTTTAAAAAGGCCTTGGCGTGCACTAATCATGTAATCAATGACAAGAAAATTGACCCAAAAAAAGCTAAAGCACGACATGTTAAATTATTTGTTGGAGGATTGTCTCCTGATTTAACTGATGATGACATCAAAGATTATTTCAAACGTTATGCACCTCTGGTGAATGCGGAGATGCCATTTGATAAAGTTAAAAACCAACGAAAAGGTTTTTGCTTTGTTACATTTGATTGCATGCAGGCAGTTACTGAAATATTAAAAACGCCAAAACATGTGATTAATGGCAAACAAGTAATTAATTGATATATATAATACTCAGACTATTTTATTCCTTATAATTTATAAATATGTATTAGGTTGATGTAAAAAAAGCAGCATTAAAAGTAGAGCCTTATGGAATGATGCCTGGTGCTTCAGGACCTATGAGAGGAATGCGAGGGAATGTTAGGGGTCGAGGAGGTAGAGGAGGTAATTATACATTATTATTTATTGCTTTATACTAATAACTTGTATATAATAATACTATATTGTTATATTACATTTAATATTTTTAACAGGTTTTCTACCTCAATCTGGATACGCCCCCGGTGCTCCTGGTTACGGCTATGGAGGTAAATGTATTTTCTGTCAACAGTATACAGTAGAAATCAATTATAACGACACTATTTAACAATTCGCTACTGATTAAATGTTTCTATATATTTTCTAATATTAATTTGTGCAACTAACACAATGTCTATTTTCTAGTAGTGTCTTAGTAAAATAAAAAATGAGGTTATCGGGGGCGATCCACTAGGTTACATCATGAAAAAAGCAATTTTCTTAAGCATTCAATAATTTCTAAATTTTTTAAATTGATAAATATATTAATGCATAGAAATTTCACTAGTTAATTGTATACTACATAATTTTATGACCTACTGGTTATATAATTCCCAGACAATTGAAAGTCATTATAGCCACTTTCTACTGTTATTACAAATTTTAAATATAAATCATATATTTTTAAATTTATTTTATGTTAATTCTTTTAGGATATGATTATTATAATCAATATACAGGATACAGTCCTGATTACAGTTATAGTTATGGTTATCCAAGTTACGGTGCTGGTGCTGGAGCAGGTTAGTATTATTGTATTTATTATTTTATTACATGTTTTATAATTATTTATTTTAGATTACCAGTATGGAGGCTATGAACCACCTGCACCTCGTGGTGTTCATGGAAATCGTGGAGGAAAAGGTAAACCCTAAATATTGATTGCATTCCAAAGTAATTGAACATAGTGTAAAATAAAAGTATTATATTTCCTTTTTGAATTAATAATTTTATTTTGACATTTGTTTTGTTATTTTTATTATTAGTAATTCTTATTTTACGATTATCCACTCCCTGTATTTTTTCATTTAAAATACAATTTATTTTATTTATTTAAATTGTGAGAGTTATTTTTTAAATAATTT